CCGCAAAAAGATCGCCAGAGATGAACTCCACTGTTGCGTTTATTAAAATGCGTCTTTTGCTGCATTTGCTTAAATTTCTGCATGCAGAGTCTTTAAAGGAAACAAAAAAGAAAAACTCAGCTATTTCTTTAAAAGACACTTATATACACTTACAAGTTGAGTAGGATACTTACAAGTTGAGTAGGACAATTTAAAGATGTTCTTAAGCCACCTGCTATTGTTGTCTTCTACCTTATCCCAATAAAAGTACTGCATTGCGTACTTTTCACTTTTAAGTTCTTGGAGATTCTGATCTTATTTACTCTTTTTTTTTAAGAGAAAAAAAATCCTTCTTAAACCTTCTGATTGTTGCAAAATAAATTTTGCAACATAATCATTCAGCTGAATGTTTCACTTTGAGCTGCTAAGCCCATGTGCCCTTGCAATTTAACCAAGCATTAATCAAATTCTTAGGAAAAAGAAATATTGAAGTGCATGGGGAATTTGAAGACCAATATTGATCCAGGTTATGCAACATATGAATTATTTGATAGGAAATTGTTGTTCCTTCTCTATTATGTTTTGCATAGACTATAGGGGGTCCTTGATTTACAATCACAATTGAGCCTAAATCGTCCCAAAGGTGCTTTTTCAGGAAGCAACTGGATTTTCTGGTTTTTTTCTTGGAAGACTAATAATAATTGAGCCTAAAATTTCTGTTGCTAAGCAAGACAGTTGTTGAGTTGGTTTTGGCCCATTTCATGACCTTTAGTGCCACAATTGTTAAGTGAATCACTGTAGTTGTTAAGTTAGTAACACTTAAGTGAATTGTTAAGTCTGGTTTCCCTTTTGACTTTGCTTGTCAGAAAATTGCAAAATGGAATCACGTGACCCAGGGATGGTAAAACCATCATTAATACATGCCAGTTGCCAAGTGTCAGAATGTTGATCATCATGGAGATGCTTCAATGGTCATGTGGAATGCGGTCATAAGTCAGTGCTGTTTCAGTGCTGTTATATCTTCAAACATTCACTAAATGGATGGTTGTAAGTCGAGGATTATCTGTACTTGCAGATAAAGGCTTATCTAGTACTCCCCATTAGATATTCTCCAGATATGTTGAGATCGTAATTCCTACTATTCCAAACCAGACTTGTTAAAGATAGTCCTCAATTTATGTTAAGAGCCTTGGTGATGCAGTGGTTAGAATGCAGTACTGCAGGCTATTTCTGCTGACTGCTGGCTGCTTGCAATTTGGCTGTTCGAATCTCTCCAGGCTCAAGGTTGACTGAGCCTTCCATCCTTCCAAGGTGGGTAAAATGAGGACCCAAATTGTTGGGGGCAATAGGTGACGATGTAAAACTGCTTAGAGAGGCCTGAAAAGCACTGTGAAGCGGTATATAAGTTTAAGTGCTGATGCTATTGCTATTTTATTAATTGAAACATTTGTTCAGTGAGTTTTGCCCCATTTTATAACCTTTTTTGCCGCAGTTGTTAAGTGAAATTGCAGTTGTTAACTTGTTAATGGAATCTTGGTTTCCCATTGACTTTTCTTGTCACGAGGTCACAAAAGCTGATCACGTGACCTTGGGACCCTGCAACCATCATAAATATGAGTCAATTGCCAAGCATCTGAATTTTGATCATGCAACCACAGGAATGCTACAATGGTTGTAAGTGTGAAAAATGGTAATAAGTCATTTTTTTTTCCAATGCCATTGTAACTTTGAACAGCCACTAAATGAACTGTGTTAAGACGAGGAACGCCTGTATTGAAGACTAACCATCTGGGAAGAAAGAGATGTGGTGGAGAATGAGGAACCTCTGCTGCTCTTTGGAGGCATGGCCTCCTCCTCCTCCCAGAGGCCATCAGGACCAGTTATCCTGTGAAGAAAGGCAACAGGAGAACGAAGAGGAGAGTTTCACCTCAGTCTCACTGGTAGTTGATTTCAAGCCTAGCTGGCCATTGTAGGAACCCTGAGTCAATAATGCCTTTTTGGGTGGTTTGACTTAGTCCTAAAGCAGAGGTCCCCAAACTTGGCAACTTTAAGACTTGTGGACTTCAACTCCCAGAATTCTCCAGCCAGCTAAAGGATCACTATTGCTAAGTCTGCCTTCCTGTATGTGTAATAGTTGTTCCTCAGTTTTGATAGGCCCACAACTGAAGCTTCTCTATTATCTTTCTTCCATTACCTGAAATTATTTCCTTATAAGGTGCTGTATTCTTCAGATGAAAGCATGTTTGGAATGCACCCAGAGTTGGTTGAAGGATGTATATAAATATTTTTTAGATATAAATATTTTAAATGAAGTTAATCTCAACATGCTTCTTCCTTCCTGAGAAGCAATTACTCACAGTCCTGCTGTGATTCCAATGCTAGGAATTCTTTTTTTCCTCCATTCCTCCACAGATTTGCGTGTCCTTACTATGGTATTTCCTTTCTCCCCTCCAATTCTCTCAAAAACTTCTGTTCTCTCTTTTCTACCCTGGCCTGTTTCCCATAAAGAATTTTTTTTTTTTTACCAATTGTGTTTTCTTGGGAAGGGACCATGAATAGCTGAGTCACGTCCTCTCTGCACTTGCTGTGACTGTTTAGGAGGACTAATTCTTGCCACTTCTCTGGAGTTACATAACTCGGGTGGGCTTCAAAAATTTTAGTAAGGGGTTCTCTGCCCGGTTGCTGGGTAGGCGTGGCAATGGTGGGCGTGGCCTAGTTAGCCTCCTGCACCATGGGGGAGTGTTTTTGCCCTCCCCGGGCTCCGGAGGCTTTCCTCAAGCCTCCAGGAGGGAGAAAACAGCCTCCTGGGCTCTGGACCCTCTCTGGAAGCTGGAAACGGGCCCATTTCCAGCCTTCCTGAACTACCGGGTGGCCTGTTTTTCACCCTCCCTGAGCCTCTGCGCGCACCCTACACTTACCTGCATCCAAAACGCACAGCGTGGGGACTCCTGGGAGGAGAGGGATGGGGTAGGTGGGGCCAGCCAGGAGTGGGATTTGGGAGTTCTCCAAACTGCACAGGATCTTAACTAGGGTGCACTTGAATCCCTTGAACCCTCAGCAACCCACCCCTGGTTACATTACAATAAGAGTACTGCAGAGTAGGTTGCACTGCTGTGCTTGCTCACCCAATGTCAAAGAGTGGGGTCTGACTGGCTGATTTTAACAGACTGTTAAGGAAAGTGCATGATTGAATGGTTATGTGATTTTTGCAAAATTGGACTTTTCTGAGCTGCCTTTGAGCTTTCCTTGGTTGCTCCCTTCTAGAGCTGAACATAAAATACATGTATTTTCTTGCCCCTTCATCCTGACTCGGTCAGTATCTTTAAAGCATCTTTAAAGAGTAAGGCAGTCTGAATGTATCTTCTTCATCTCATTTTGCTGAGGAAGATTTTAACAGAATTCAACTTTATTCATCACCAACCAACCTAATCTGACTGCTTGTAAAAAAAAACAACCCAGCATATCTAGGCCTTAAATTTCATTAGCGTGCTGAGAAGTATTTGTTGGCTCTTATATACATACAAAATATTTTTGTTCTGGAGAAATCTGGACAAAATGCTACACACATGGGCCTTTCCATTCTGCAGAGTTAATGTGCTATTCAACCCTTTACCTATTCTTGGGCGGGTAGAAAATTATACAGGGAGTCCTCATTTATCAACCACAGTTGGGACTGGCAATTCAGTTCCTAAACAAAATAGGTGCTAAGTAATTGTGGTTGGATTTACAGGTTGGATTTATTTCAGCATTCCCTTTGCTTTACAAACCTGGAAAGTTGTAAATGAGAAGACCGGCCGCAAAGTTACTTTTTCATCATTGTAATTGTGAATAGTTAGAAAATGAGGACCACCGGTACCATTTTAAAGTTGTCTACCCTATTGCCATCTTCTATTCTGTGCCTCTTGCCAGTCTCTCAACTAGATCAAACAGGTAACATGATGAGCTCAAGCTACCCTATTGAAAGGTACAGTAACAGAAACTTGCAAGTCTGAAAGTACAAATATCCCACTGTCTCTTTTTATTACCTGATTAATTACAGCAGATCCTTTGCCAGCCTGTTATTCACTTGTGGCCGCCTTACCCTTTTATCTCATCATTCCCTACGCAGGATCTCTTTCTCCCGTGCTTTCCATTGTATCTCTGTTTTGATGCCTTGCCACATCTGCCCTGATTTTGTGTGAACAGAAGCAGGGTGAGCAAAGTGATTGGTTAATTTTTCAAGCTATGCTGTCTTCCCTCTTTGCAGGCTACCAGCCAGTGAGAAAGACACCTGCCAATCAAGGCCCTGCAACAGGATGGGTTCATCACCTTTAGATGTCTTCCATATCCTTCTCCAAAACTCCCCATTCTAACTCAAGTCAAAGAAAGTTAAAAAGAAACAAAAAAAAAACAATTGGAAACAAAAGCAAACATCACTATTAGGAATTATCTACTATTTTCCCTTTTCCCAAAAATAGATGCAGCAAATGCCAGATTCCTCTGTGTTTTGTGTGTGAGGCAATAGAAGGGATTTGTCCTTCCATCTATTCTACTATAACCCCATTTCTCAATTTTAGGATTTGGCACATTTCTTACAGGGGTTATCCAGTGATTTGTGTGTCTATGTGTGTGTGTGTGTGTAAACATTTGATTGAACAGCTTCATGTGGCCAACCGGCACCAGGTGGATCGTGGGTGCACTTGACTGGGATTCTGTCACTACCCCCCCCCCCAAAAAAAACCCCAAAACACCACAGAAGGCTGTCGCCTTGACAAAGGAAAATCACTTTAACTCTGATTTGCCTCTGGATGACCCACGAGCCTGTCTTACTCATAAACTGAAGATGCGATGAAAAACATGGGAAAGAAAAAAAAACTTCCAACATCATCATCAGGAATAATAATCATCTACTGTGATCTGATGCAGGTCAGGAAACTCCCACTGATGAGCAAACAGCATATCATACTTATTGCTGAAAGTGAAAGCAAATGTTGCTTCTTAGAAGAACACCCCTCCCCCCCACACACACACGCAGTACTGCTGTTGCTGCTGCTTTCTTTTTTTTAAAAAAAAAAACAACAACCAGCTGGCTGCAAAGGAAGCAGACTCATTGCTTTCTGGCGATGACATTTAGACACTTAGCTCAAGCCAGCGCAGAGGGAAGTCTGCTTTAGGGAAATCAAGGGAACCCATCTGACACAGCTCCGGAGGTGAGTAGAATACTGATAGACACAGTGGTGTCTCTGCAGAGCACTAGAACAAATTTCTCTAATGTGTTAAGTCCTTTGCACTCCAATGAAGAGAGTTCAGAAAGGGGTCGAGCTTGTGACGGAAAGAATTCTTACTAGAGACCTGATGGCATCATTTGCTCAGTGATGTCTATGTGCTACGTCTTTGTGGCTTCCATCTACCGTTTCTAGGCGTTTCTAGGGCTCAACTGCAGGTGGCTCCCAGCCAAAGCTCCCTTGACCATCCAACTCCTGTTGTTGTGTTTGCAGGCCACTTTTCTCAGTAAAAAATTTTCCCTGTGCAAATCCAGGTTTTCTGTGGGGTTTAATCCATCCTGCTTAGGGAAAACCCAAGGAGAAAGGGAAGCATGCCTAATATTTATCCCATGTTTCTTTTGGACCAGGCTAAGGCCTGACTTCTTTCGGGTGGTGGTTTAGTGTTGTTGTTTTTCATTTTATTTTAAGTTTGCTATTACTTTGAGTCAGAGAAATGGATGAAATAGGGGAAGGGGTGGGGAGGGAGAGAGAGAGAGAGAGAGATGATAGATAATACAATGAATAGTGTTTATGTATGTTTCCACTTCCATAATTCTTATTTTATATAATTATTTTCAATTGTCTATGTTACACCCAGAGAACTCCAGGTATTGGGTGGATTGTAAAAGGTATCAGGTAGATCAAAATATTGCTGGAATGGGAATATTAAGTACATGAAAGCCTTCCCAAACTGTAACTCCCCAGGTTGGAAGTTGAATTTGGCAGAATTCCCAGACGCTAAATTTTGGTTAATGTTTTAAAAACATCCTCAGAAGAATGTGACAAATATGGGCAAAAGAGCAGAGATTCTGAAATCATCCAGGGAATGGCATTTCATTTCCCTTTGGCCTTGCTGTTTGGCACAATTAAAAGAGAAAAATGTATTTAAATCTCTGTGTGGGGGGTCATATTTCAGTTAACTGGTTAGGACCATCTTCAAAAGCAAGTTTCTAGTTCAGGTATAAAAGTTAAGTGCAAAATAGTTCTCGGTATCCACAGGGGTTTGGGGGTAGATAAAACAGTCATGGGGGTTTGCAGGAGTGGGCAGGGGAAGGACACGACCCCAGTTGCTATAGTTACCGCTGGAATCCATGTACCAACCTATGTGCCAACAAGTCGGTAGAAGCTGAAAGAGCAATGGATAAACACATGACTTCACCTCCATGTGCTTTGAAAACTATCGCAGATTTGGGATCCCAGACAGCCCTAACATTGATCAAAACCAGAATGCAGGGATTCTCTGGAAAGGAAGACATTCCATGGAAAACATCTGATTTTGCTTTAGGAATACTCTGACAGATAAATAGAGTGGCTATTGTGTCAAACCCAGTTCCCTAATGACATTGAAACCCAGGGAAGTAGGTGAAATTACAGACAAAGGATGCTGGCCAGCTGCCTTATCACCTCCCTCGGCGTCCCTTGTCTTTTTCCAAGCCTCTTCTGGGAAGCTCTGTGTAGATGCTATTGTGAAGGTTCCTGCCTGTTTTCATCCTGCGTTTCACCTCCATTGGGCTTTGAATGTTCTTTTGTTCTCATGATAAAGGAAAAGGTCAAGTAGAATTCCCATTGATGTCTCAATCCTGTTCCATCATGCTCTTCCTTCTAATCATGACCGTGAGTCATTAGAAAGATAGATAGGATTAGATTAGATTAGATTAGATATAGATATAGGCTTAAAGCACATAGACATGATTTTTAATGCAAGGCTAGCTTGACCGTGTGGTCTGAATATCATGTGGTCCGAATCATCACGCAAACACTGGGTGTTCTCAGTTCTGCTTTCTGTCATCCCCGAGGGCAGGAAATAGGACAAGGGATTTGAAGTACGGGCAGGCAAGCTCTGTAGGAAGTGAGGCTGGAAAAAAAAAATCACAACAATAAGGTGGTAGAACTAATCCAAAGAGTTGGTGGACTTGCCTTCATGGGCTGCGATCATGCAATTGTGCAGGAGCTGACAGCTACCGACCTACAATAGTTTAATTCGGAGCAGTTAAGTTCAGTAACTTGATAACTAGCTCGTTAATGTTATGATTCTGCCTCGCACGGCCAATTTATAGAGCAATCCTGTTTCACAGGGAACAAGGGGGTCAGAGGCAGAAGAAACCGTGAACCTGTAGGATACAAGAGGGAGGGAAGGAGGGAGGGAGGCAGGCCATGTCAATTCCGCCCCCCCCAAGGTTTTAAAAATGTGTTTATTTTGCAAATTCTCTCTCACTGAAGCTACTGGTAGGCATTTGATTGGAATGAGCTACAGACTGGCGAAGATGAGCAGCTCGGTTGGGCGAAGTAAAAAGAAAAAAAATTAAAAATAGATTTTGTACATCCAACAGTTTTCCAGCACAACAGCCGTGGCAATTTGGTTTAATAATTAAGGCACTGGCCCAGAAAGCAGCTGGGTGACTTTGGGTCAGTCCCTCTCTCTCAACCCAGCCCACCTCACAGGGGGGTTGTGGGAAAACAGGAGGAGGAAGGAAAATTAGGCATATTTGCTGTCTTGAATTTTATATATATATAATAAAGGCTGGATGAACATCATACAAACAAACAAGTAATGATGATGAATAGAGAGAGATGATAAATGGATGGATGGATGGATGGATGGATGGATGGATAGATAGATAGATAGATAGATAGATAGATAGATAGATAGATGGATGATGTGCTCAGCAAAGCCCGTGGTTTTTTTCTTCTTTATGCCTGGGCTAACTAGCAGAGATTGGAGTTTCTCTTATAGAATTGGATTTCACAATTCTTGAAGGTTGAGATCTGTCCTGTAACCTTTGGGGTGCCTTTGCGTAGGACATGGGATTTAATTTAAAAATACACTTCTATTCTTGGGGAAAATATGCCCTTTTGTCCTTATTAATTTTCCTTCTTATTTTACCAGTTGGTTATGTATATACTTATTGATACCTGTTTCCAAGAACCATGCACGAATAGAACTATTGTATTTGGATAGGTCCTTGGTCTGATCCAGTCTGCCTCTTTCTGTTTTGGGCATAAAGGTAGCCTCAGCTTACAACCATTCATATAACAGCAATTCAAAGTTACAGTGGTGCTGGAAAAAGTGACTTGTGACAGGTCCTTACATCAATAACATGATTGCAATTTGGGGGCTTGGCAACTGGCATGTATTTACAATGGTTTTGGTGTCCCAGGATCGTATGATCACTATCTACAACCTTCTCAAAGGACTTATAACAATTTTCTGACAAAAATCAATCGGGAAGCTATTTTGTGATTTGCTTGACAACCACAGCAACAGTGGTCATAAAATTGGGCACGAGTGACTTACCCACATTGCTTAATGGCAGAAGTCCCAGTCCCAGTTATGGTTGTAAGTTGAGGACTAGCCAAAGTAGGTTGGATGTCCAAACTAATGTGAAACACCCTCCCTGCACTAGAGAGTACAAGTTATTGTCTTTTAAATTAGATTTCTAGAAATGTTTATCCATGCATCTTCAAGACAGCTTCCAAAAGAAATATATAGAAGCATACCGTCAAATAGAAAACATGAAGTAAAACTACAAAGCATCATCTAGTACTAAAATAATGCACAAAAACAGCATACAAGAAATAAGTTAACAGGTTAAATGCAACTATTAATCCATCTGAACAGGAAATGCAAAGTTCTGTGGAATAATTTTAAACTTGAAGACCAGCCTAGCAAAGTTTCTGCTGAATTATAAAATTAGCTCTCTCAGTTCTTAACATTGCCTGCAGACCGAGACATGGGACAGGTAGTCATTACTGACATTAAGCAGTAAGGATACAAATGCTAGCTCATTTCTTCTGGTGAAACCGGACTTGGAGGCAACCAAATGTCTTGGGGTCTGCTTGACTACCCGGTACTTTCAAGGTCAGGAGACACATGGCAAATGAAGCTGAGTAGGGTCTCAATTGACAGGCATGGTTTTTTAAAGAACACAATAGGCTAAAGAGCCATTTCTCTGTGGCAAAGGAAAAATATATCTTCCTACTTCCATATCAATTGTGTTTTTTTAAAGTCCTCAGTGAATTGGCCTTTATCGACAGAAACACCGCAAAGCACCTTGGCTTGAGTCAGCCTGTTTGAAGCATTACAATATTAATGATGTTACTCTTTTTTAAAGATATTTCTGGAAAAATGGCCAAGTTCCTACCAGTTCTGCTGTTTGCATCCCAGCTTTCCTTGATAGCAGGTGAGAGTTTTCTATAGGATATACTGTCCAATAATATTCTCAGAATTGTCCATCAAATTTAGAACTTCAGATGTGTGCCAGAACTCTATGAGATGTTTGCTACTCCCTTAAAAATTCAGTTCAGGAGAACTGTTGCACTAAGGGGCTTTAAGTCCAAATGAATCAATGTTGTAGTGCAGAGGTCTCCAAACGTGGCAACTTTAAGACTTGTGGATTTCAACTCACAGAATCTGTGAGTTGAATTCTGTGAGTTGAAGTCCACAAGTCTTAAAGTTGCCAAGTTTGGGGACCTCTGTTGTAGTGCTTTGGGGTGGCCATGGTCCTTTGGGTACAGGCGCTTTTGTAGTTTAGTGGGAGATATTCAAAAGGACAAGTGTTGTGGCTTGTGTCTCTTTTCCATTCAACCAGCATAAAAGGTGTTCCAAGCATATCTGGAGTACCAGTAGAAGAGAATATTTATAGCTCAGGTTTGAACCGTGGCATCCTTGATGCTGTCTGGCTGGATTATTTTCTTGCAGAGGTTTCATTCATCCTACTAGGTCAGCAGCCTCCAACCTTTGGGGAACAGGGACCGGTTCCATAGAGAGAGGTTTTTCCGCAAACTAGAAGGAGAGTGGTTTTGTGTGCTGCCTGCATCCTGCAGATGGGGCTTTGCTTCTTTGCGCAGGCCAGTTTCTGCCATGTTGCAGACCCAGTGCGGGTCCATGGACTGTGGGGTTGGGGACCCCTGAACTAGATAACATCATCCATGCTAGAAGGAAGTGGGATTTGCTGTCTGTTTGTATATAAGTGGCTTGCCTCATCAGTGTTGGTGGGAGCAGACTTGGTAATCCCTTGACTATTGCTTTTGTTTACTGTTGGTGTGATTGTCTGAGTTGGTAGTTTCTTGATTGAGGTATTGTTGAATGAAACATATGCAAGAAAAGCTCAAAGAGGACCAAGGATCCCACGTATCTGGAGTAATCTCCAAAGGATTGGTTCCGGTTATGGATTCAAGGTTTCAAACTCAGGGTAAGCAGCCAGGAACCAGAAACATTCTGGGAAAGAAGCCAAATCTAAGCAGATTTTGGGGAATCTGCAGGAAGCACCACCAACCTGATGCTTTGGTCAGCAGTGTGCCTGAAGGTGTCTATCTTGCCCCAGGCAATATTTATCTTCCCAAAATACCTGGGATAAGTAGCTAAACACTACAAAAGCTTCCATACAAAGTTTCTTTATTGGATTATATCAGGCATCCTCAAGGTATAACTCACAGTTATGCTGAGATTCATCTAATGTCCAATGTTTGCATTGTCATCTTCATAGTGTGAAAAGATAGTTATCTTCATCCCATAATGATACAGCAAGGGAGGCCTCCAGCACAATGCTGGGGTCCAGGTAAGAATGACCAAAACTCCCCCAACCCAACTAGAGGTCAATTCAGTAACCAATCGGGATTACAGATGTGACCACATGACATGAATTACATCTCCCATGAGGCATTAACTACATTTCCCATGAGGCATTCCCTTAAGGGGACAGCTCCCATTCACAAACTAACTATGCTGTCTAACCTTAGACACTATATTCTGTCTAACCAGCATAGGGTCTCCTTCCTGTGTCTGACCTGGACTTTTCTTTTTGTAACTCACCACGCAGCCATGATAGCAGGTTTCTGAGCTGGGAAGACCATCCTTGTGACATTCCTGAGACCTTCACTATGCAGTCTGAATGCCAAAGGCTGCCCCACACCCCAATTCATGCTACTGAAGATTTCCATTTCTAAAATTATGGATTTTTTTTAGAATCTTCTTCTTGCTGTTCACAGACCCTTCAAATTAGCATAACATGTGTTTTAGTAATCATAACTAGAAGAAGAAACACGTTACCAATTGCACTATCAGTTTCCTGTAATATTTGCAGTTATATTTTTTTTGAAATTGCCCTGGAATATCTCACAGTCATTTATGGGTCGGGTGAAATGTGTTTTAAAAATAAAACAATGGCTAGAAATCAGGGACTCTTCACCATGGAATTGTTTCCAAGAGCTCATCCCGGGTAGCTGTCTGCACTGTCTTTGGCTGCTCCATTTAAAAGCAGCCGCCATGTTCAGTGCTGCTTTGCTTCTCATTCTCTTTTTTCTCATTTTTCAAATTTAAATGCTTAAATGGGACTACTTCCCATTCCTGCATCAGTTCAAGTCAAAAAGAAAAAAAAAGCATTCAATTAGAAATATTGTCCCATTTTCATATATTTTTTTCCCTAATAGTTCTGTTTAGTAGACATTTTCCCTAACATCTATATGCACCTTTCTTTGAGTTATGACTCTTTTTCATCCTATCAGTGAAAGTACAGCTAGCAGGGGGAAAAAAAACCTGGTTTGCATACCAGAAATGCAAATAATATTACTGAATAAGTATACATTAAAATGAAGACCAAAGGAAATGACTGCTTCCGTGATCATAGTTACTCATCTAGACAGCCTGTAACGATTAAGAGGACCCGGTCAATCCATTTCAACTTCTGACTCAGCTTCTACATTATGGGAGCAACAAGGACTGTGAGCACATAAATGTGCAATCATTTAGAAAAAAACACATCATGCTGATACAAGTAGCTCTCAACTTACAACAGTTCAGTTTAGTGACCATTCAAAGTTACAACAGCACTGGAAAAACGGTTTTTCTCACTTACGACTTTTGCAGCATCCACTTGATCATGTGATCCAAATTCAGAAGCTTGGCAACTGGCTCATATTTATGACCTGGGGTCCTGGGGTCACGTGATCCCCTTTTGTGACCTTCTGACAAGCAAAGTCAACGGGGAAGCCAGATTCACTTAACAACCAGTTTACTGACTTATCAACTTCAGTGATTCACTTTGTGGCAAGAAAGGTCGTAAAATGGGGCAAAACTCACTTAACAACAGAAATGTTGGGCTCCATTGCGGTCATAAGTCAAGGATTACCTGTATAAACCAAAGGCATTTAATTGATTAGAGATCAATTACATAAAGTATATATTTTGATTATATAAAGAATGTCAAAAGAGAGCAAATCAATTCTCTTCTAGCACTGATGATTGTTACTGATTATTCATTTATATTCTGGAAATGCACATATTTAGATATTCAGCATCTGCAGGCTCTTAGTTAATTGAGTTACAGCACACATATTATTCCTACATAAAAATGTAAATTGCCCGGTGGATACTCAAGTATGTTTGCTTATTTTATTATTATTTTTTCCAGCTTTATTTAGGGTGAGTGTTATTCAGCCTCATTACTCTGCAGAATATGGAAGCAATGTGACTATAGGATGTCACTTTCCAGCGGATAACTTCTTGAATCTGACACAGTTGAATATCTTCTGGCAGCAAAAACTGTCAGACGAAGCCAAGGAAGTTTACAAGCTCCAAAATGGACGCGAAGATCTGTCAGGGCAACACCGACATTTCCAAGGAAGAGCTACGTTATTATATGAGGAATTGAAAAAGGGCTATTCTATGCTACATATCACCCATCTAAGGATCACAGATGCTGGATGTTACCTTTGTGTTGTCAACTATCGTGAAGCTGATCACAAGTACATTGACTTGAAAATTGAAGGTTAGTAGCCATAGAATGTCACCGGCGGAAATCGGAATGATGTGCCATTATTTAACAATGAAATTTACCAGATTTGCTTTTATATGTTCAGCACTGAAGAATATCTCTAGGGGAAAAGATGTATTAGTCTATGGTGGCCAAAAATCTGAAGGAGTATGCCTTGATAAAAACTGTTAGCTTGGAAATTGCTACCCTGACTACATCTGATTTTTAAAGACTTGGTGTATTAATCCATTATGCTGATAGAATTGTGTAAAAGTACATTATGGGCAATCTTTGCTCCTTCTCTTCTGACTTCATACTACGGAGGCAAGATCTCAAGGGAGGGGCTATTTTACTTACAATAGCTGTCATTTATTTTAGAAGATCAGGTAGAGGGCCTACACAACCAGCCTTGGAAAGAAGCTACCCAAGGAAAGCAATCTGGTTATGCTCCAACAAAGTGACCCAGATAGCGATGGTTTGACCAGTGTCATCTCCAGTCTTCTCACATTCTTGCAATCACAGAGGGATAAGTGTCATTATTGCCATCATTTGTTTCATAACAAATAAGCAGATCAACCTCCTTCATATCTTCTCGATTATCCCTATGAATATCCACGGATAAAGTGAGATTCTATTTTCTGCCTCTTATTTTTGTGGCTTCACAGAAATTTCCCTGGAAGGGAAGTTCTGAAATTAGCTCTCCCCACCCCCAATTTTGAATATTCTGAATTACATTTTATACTGTAGCATTTTTTTCCCTTTATTTCAGAAAGGCGAAACATTAATGAATAGTTTACCTTTAACATGCAGATTTTTAAAAACGCAGCTGGGAGTTTGTATGTGGATTCATAACTATCAAAATATAGCAGGCAGCAAGAGAGATTTAAAACCTTTTTTCTTTTCTGTGGCCATGATAAAAATGGCTCCTTCTAAGTCTTTGTTATTGGGAGGAAAACTACTACTAATACCATTGTAGTTTTCTACCCAAACTTTTTTTTAAAGACTTGTACAGTGAATGAAAAAGCCTGTTTAACAAAAGCAACACAAAATATATTTCATTGTATAATGTCCTTGTCAATCACCTCTAAGGAAAATAAAAACTTCTTAAAAGCTTTATTTTTTTTTATGTAGCACCTTACAAGAAGATAAACATCCAGGAAAGAAAAGAAGACGAGGACTACATCTTAACTTGCCAGGCAGAAGGGTACCCCCTGGCTGACGTCCTTTGGCTTTATGAAAACATAATCAATGACACGATATTTGCAAACACAACACATAAGCTGACAGACACAGGACTTTTCAACATAACGAGTGTCTTGAGAATCAGACCAAGTGCTCCTGGAAATTACAGCTGCATATTCCAAACTAAGGAATTGAGGCAAACCTCAGCTCACAGAACAGTATTTCTAATAGGTAAAAAGAATAATGCATTGATTATGTGGGAGTTTAATCCTTGCAGAAATGGAAAAACTAGGATTCCAACCATAAAATTGGCAGAGAATAAAATGTGTTGTGTGAATAGATAGGGAGAACTGGCCTGCAATATTGAAGGTGCCCTAAGTCAAAGATTCCCAACGTTTGTGGTTTGGTGGCCCAGCTGGGGGGGGGGGCAGAGAGGGGAATTGGGCTGTGTGAGTGGTGGGACGTCATGAGCTTGCATGTGCATATATGGCCCTTATGCAGATCAACTTATGCAAGCGACAGGCCAATATATGTGCAAATGCCCACCAGTCTACCACTTACACAAATTGAGCTGCACGCATATAGCATGTGTTCTAACCAACCACTTGCATGGCTCCATTTCTAAATAGTCCATGGCTCGGTAGTGGGGTGCAGCCCAGGGATTAGGGACCCCTGCCTTAAGAAACATGCAGATAATCACTAAGGAGCCTGAATGTAGGATAGCTGAAAGAATAGGTCTAAGATGCAATGGGTTAAAATCTAGGAAGAATAATTGAATGTGACCAAGTCTGGAAAGAAACCACAGGCAGAGAAGATGGGTGGTATTTTTTTCTTCTGAAACAAGTATAGTGACAAATTATTCTAATCCAATCTACCTATTACTTTGTCACCTTGTCTCAGAGCCATAGGATTTGAGACATAATTGCAGCCTTAGGACTTTAGTGTAGAATTGATACACTTCAGATTCCAAACAACTTCAATTTGAAAAAAAAAACATGCATAATTTCAGTATTTGGGGGAACATATAGAATGTCTCAGAATCTGCTGAAATCAAATAGAGAACCAGTTAGTTTTTTGTGATTATACAGCAGTATCTTCCTATGAGCCTTAAAACAATTTCTCTCCTTACTCTTGTCTTTTCTTATCTTTCATCTTAACTATCATTACTAAATGATTATTAAAATCTTCCTTCATCTTAACAATCATTACTAAACTGTTACTAAAATCTTCTCTCAAGCCTGCAGGTAATTCAGAATTGCCACCCAAATAAATGTATGTGAGAAATTCTTTCTGCATATTTGCATGTCATTTTCAGGATGAATGTTTATGCAGGACTAAGAATGCCACGATGTATTCCAGTTAAGGACAGGTTATAAGCATTGTAGAGCATGCCAGTTTGATAGCAACAGGTAAGGTTAAAAACTGGGAGGCTGTGAGCTCTAGTCCTGCCTGAGGCACAAAAGAAGCTGGGTGACTCTTTTCCCCTGAGCTCTAGGAAGCAGGAAACGGAAAATGACTTCTGCAATCTTGCCAAGGAAACTACAAACAGTTGTCAGGAGTCAACACTAACTTGAGGGCACAAGAGAAACAGCATCTGAAATAGAATCCCTGCTCAACACTATCTGAATATACAACCAAAATACTGCAGTGGAATTTGGACTGGACAAATGCCACCCTTACCATCAACAGGAGGGAAATAGTACAAATTGAAGAAAAATCAAGAAATAGCATCAAGAGTCTGGATGAATACTATTATTACAAATACCTGTACATCTTTTAAGAAAACAACATCAAGCCCACTGAAGTCAAGAAGAAGGTTAGAAATAAATGGTACATTATGAAAATGAAGATCTCAAAGTCCAAACTCAGTGCAGCAAATATCAAGGCAATTAATAACTGGACAATTGCAATCATTAGATGCACAACTAGAAAAGTGGACTGGACTCCCCTCAAACTAAAAGAACTAAAAGCTCCCATAATTATATAACCTAAATACACAGGACAAAACTCTTTCCAGTTAGGGGGATAAAATAATTTTACAGGTGAACAGGAGAAAAGGGTACACATGATGACCTAGGATGGGTTTGTGTTCACCTCTCTTGAAAAGAAAAAGTATTCAACCTTGTTAGGCACAGCATGTAGTATTTTAGCATTTGTGAAAATTAGAGACCTAAAGGATTGTGCTATATGTCAAATTGGTGGCCTGCAGACCAGATGCAACACTAGCAGGTCACTCCCACCCCAGCTCCACGAAGGCAAGAATGGTGTGATACATCACCCAACATCAACATGATGCGGCAAGTTTGACACCCGTGTGCTATATCAAAGAAACCTTTGAAACATGGCCGGTCAATGTCTTTCACTTCAAGAGCTATACAAGTTATCGATGCCTCAGAAATTACAATGTGTTTGGTTCTGATTCTCCACTTTCCACTCTATACTTTTAATTCCTCTGGTTTAAAATGTCTCTTTCTCCATTTCCCCTGGTTTTCAGCATGTTGGAAATCATTTATTTTGCATTCCATAGTTGTCAAGCATACAACTTTGGTTGAAGCCATTTATTGGCTTAACTCTGCTTATTTGAGTTATGGGCATTATTACAAAAGTGAAATACTTTTTTAATATTGTCAACCCAATGAAGTCAAAGTAGTAGGATATTTTGCTGGCATGGAGGTACTTCTTCCAGGACAGCAATACAATAATTATCTAAGGGGCAATATCTGATGGAACTTGACTTGAATTGACCTGTTAAATTACTCTCATCCATAATTTTCAAACTGAATCTTAAATGCCAGTAATTCCATGTTCTAGATCAATGTTTTTCAAACTTGCTAACTTTAAAATGTATGAACTTCACCTCCCAGAATTCCACAGTGGCCAAACTCCCTGTTCCATCCATTTTAAATTATTTTAGTTTTAACCAAAAATATCAAGTAGAAAGCTAGCAAAGGAAATACCAGCCTGTAACTTCATTTTTGTTTTCCAAAGATGTCTCCGAGACTTAAAATAGGCCACATTAGATATTCTTAAAACTTGAAAATGGTGGATGGCTAGTGTGTAATAGGAAATGTGTCTACTAACATCCTCCCAAATTTAAAAAAAAATAGACAGGTAGTGGAGCGCGTTATGGGTAGCTGGGATTTTGTGTTAAGTGGGTGTTTTGAAATTAAGCTCTGCTCAATAGCCATGTTGTGAACAGGCAAGCCCTTATCATAACAATCATGTTGTAAAGGGTCACATTTCTGTGATAAACCCCATCCTGCCATGGTAAGGATTATGAAAACAGATGCATATACCCATTTTTTTTAGACCTAACAATAGAGAATCAGGTTTTGTACAAAATCCCAACATATTGTATGTTCTTGTTTACAGGTCAAAGAAATGCATCAGGCACTTGGAAAAATTCCAAGATCTTGTTTATCCCAACATTTGTGTATAGCGCTATAATTTTATTTACTATCACTAAAGTCTAAAAAAATAATAATAAATGTGCATACCTAGAAAGGTAAGTGTCTATTTGTTTTCCAATTAAATTGAAAATTTAACTCCATTTGGTATCTTAAGTATTTATTGCTTGGCAGTTCTATAACACTAATGTACTTATGGGGAAGCTTTAATCCATATTAACAGCACATTGCTGTGTGATCATGTGTGAGTTTAGCAGCTAAGCAAAAAAATCCTGGTTACTATTTGGATGGGAAACCAGCATTGTGGCTGGATTGTATAGTAGTAGAAGAACTGTAGTCAGGTGGCATAGCAATCCCACTTCCATACTATTGCCAGGAAAAGGGGTTTCCACAAAGTCACCAAAGATGACTTTGATTTTTAATATAATATTTTTTTATTTACTGGGTTACATTCATTTTCTAACCTGATACTTGATTTTTTAAATTATCTATCTATCTATCTATCTATCTATCTATCTATCTATCTATCTATCTATTATCTATCTATCTATCTATCTATCTATCTATCTATCTATCTATCTATCTATCTATCTCCATTTGTACTTCCCCCATTATTTCTGCTCTATAATTTTGGCTCCTTTAAGGATTGAAAATGTCTATGCAAATGTGTGATCAGGCATGTGAAAAGTGAAAGTAATTTTTCTCTTCATCTCATTAAGCCTATATTGAAACAGAATTTTGTTTTAATTTTAATTTTTTTCTCCTGTTGCTGAATGATCAAATCTGTATTGAAAATGAACTAAAGCGCTTTGGTTTGAGAAACCAATGTTGAGAAATTTGAGAAGCTGGGGTGCTCCCGATGATAATTTCTTAACTACAGCATGAAGTACAGTTTGTAGCATTGAACCCCATTGTTACAAGACTTAATGTTGATAGGCAAAGGTTGGCTAACCACAACTCATTATTTCTTGTGTCCATCTCTTTGTCTCTCTGCTGTTGGTTTTAGAAGAAGATCTGGAGCATCAAATCAAGGATAAAATTTGATGACTGATGCAGATGGAGAAGCCTGCACACATACAAGTTCTTCTTTGTTGTTTGATTTCCCCCATTGATCCTCCACTTAGAAACATCTTTAATGAAGTTGGACTGTAGAGGTAATTAATGCTGATCTCTCTGGATTTCTTAAGTTCATTGTTCATTCCAAATACTTGTGAAAAACGTGCATTCCAAATACTTGTGAAAAACGTGCATTCCAAATACTTGTGAAAAACGTGCATTCCAAATACTTGTGAAAAACGTGCAGGTTAGAGATACAGCCTCATAGAGAACAAGTTGATACACTAGAAAACATTCTTTTTCTTGATGCAACAAAAACTCCAGCCGTTATGGGATTGTGTTGTCATGATTTAAATAAGAAGGTAAGCTTATCCTCTAATATTGCAATGAATATTTTCTTATGTTGGCACCTTTATGGTTAGCTCTAGGTGCCTCTGGTCTGACTTCACATTTTTGCTATACAAATGTTATTTCTTAAAGCTAATTCTACCATTAATTATTGCACAGCAGGATCTCAATCAACAGCTGGTGATGTTTTAGGAAACAGTTGTATGCACCAGGGCTCCTTCCTTGTAAGACAGCCTGATAGTCTCAAGCATTATGGAGAATGTTGTCCTGTTACTGTTAAATTAAAATTTAGCTATTATTGTACAGTAGTTGGCTTCTGGATGGATAAGAAGAGTGGTGACTCCGTTTTATCCTGTCTGGTGTTCTTATGAAACATTGTAATTAACATTTTTAATATATTTATAAACTATGAGTATGAGTTACAAATCGGATAACTGTTGCTTCAAACCTTTCTGCAACTATAGTCTGTATGCCAATAACATTCCGGATCTTTTCAGTTATGATTCACAAATCTTTATTGTGGAGATGTTGTAATACTATAAATGCTACAAATATACAATCAATTGGAATAATGTCATAATTTCCAAATGGTAATAACCCTTGTTTTTAGTTTTTGTTTAGATTCTATTAAAGAATTATTATTGATAATTATTTCTAGGAAAAGTATCCTATTCAGTAGATTCGAATATTTAATAATGCATAGTTCAGATTAATGGGGATATTAATAGATAGTTGAAAAGCGCTATGAATCTCTGAGGAAGATTAAAAGTAGCAAAAATGAATATTGCCTCAAGACTGATAATACATTATCCAGGATGGGTTTTGTTGATTCTACTGGACAGTTTAGACAAATTGACTATTGATTTAGTTCCCATTGAATGGTAAATAGGATCTCCATTTCAAACATATGAAAATAGAAACTCCAACTTTCCTGACTGCAAATTATATAATTCAGTGTATTTATTAGCTTCTATAATGCATTCAGATGAAAATGATACTGAATATGTATGGCTCATGGGCCATGTGGAAAGTCAAGCTTTGGAACTGTTGAAATCCTGTTTATATGTGGTTCCAGCTATGGAGGTAGTCCTCAACATACAAATGTAATGGAGCTGCCCATTATGATTATATATTGTGACTGTCATAAAACAATTTGGTCCTGGGACCAGTCCAATTTTACGGCTTGTTTTCATGGTCATTAAATGAATGTTGTTAGGTGGTTTTTTTTTGCTATGAGCACAGTCTTGCTGAAAACCAGAAGTGCCAGTTTTTCAGCAAAAATGTCATAAAATGTGATCATATGACTGTGGGTGTCTTCCATCTCATTTGGCACATTCAACAAAAGAAACTCCCAGCTCTCTAGATTAACCAAGAGTGTAGCTTTGTTGAAAAATCCATCTAGGTATGGTAGAAGCAAAATCGATTCTGGGATTTTCCCGTAAAAACCCATGTAGGTACCTCCCCTGTTCTCCTCCAGGCCAGAGCCACCCACAGTTCATAATTCATCAGCTGAGTTCAGTTCTTTGGCTTTGGGAAAAGCTGTCTGCTTCAGTCAAAACATTCTTCATCACTTGCCCTTGTTAGATAATGTCCATCCGGCAACAGACAGTTCACTTGCATTCCATAGCCTGACTCCACCCTTAGAAATTTACCACTTTCCTTCCATCACTGGAATGGAGGGGAGGTGGGATTTGTTATTATGTGCTTATGGAAAGACACTTATATGCTAGATACAAAAAAAGTGGTTTAGAAAAATTGTCATATCTCAGCCTTTGAAATAATTATTTTATCACCAAAAAAAACAGTGGATCATGTGAATCTGTGTGGTCAAAGGTTGCTCAAAACTCGAGTATTTTTTATAGACATAATTATTATACTTTATAGCACTATAGAATAATTCAAATTTTGTTTTTTTTAATGTTTGTTTTTTATATTTTTTGTTGGAATTTCTTTTTAGGTAAAAAGGTAAGAGTTATAAGAAAAGCAATGAAACATTTTTTTTTAAAAAAAACAACAACTTCCTGCTGGCTCTCAGCCTCAATCTTTCTCTCTGTATTTTGTGTGCTTCAGTGAAAGTAAAACTAATTGTAAAACCCTGGGACTTTCTAAAAATGTCACGCATCCCTTGCATGACTTGGACCTTGTGTTTGCAGATCAGATGACCACTCTGTTGAGATTGCAGACTTATGTACTTGTTTCATAAAATTTAATTCTGTTTAGAGGGAGATAGCCACGAACTACTTCACGTTATAAAGGAAATCAGAAGGTAGCTGTAACCTTGCTTTCTTCTTGGCAACTGCAGATGTGACAAGTATATAGGAATATTCCTGTAGAGTTCATCCACAAAGTAGGTTTGAGTAGGGGAAATGCCTCCCCTCTCATGTGGAATTTAATAGGTATACAGATGTATTGTACTCTTCTAATCTAGTAATGGGCCAACTGCCCCTCTTGACGGTTGACAAGACAGTTTTAAGATTGAGGCATTAAACACTGTTTTTAACTGAGTTTTTGATTCAAAAGACAAGCACCATTAATAATGAATAAATCCAGTTTCTCATGTGGCTCATCGAAAAAATGAATTGCCCAATCATGCTGCGGAGTGCAGTCAGAAAAGCCAATACACCAGCCACAAGGGCATTTTATATCCATTGTATATTTAAAAAAAAATATTTTTGACTTTTTAAAATCATACCCTGCAGATGCTTCTGGTGGCAACTCTAGGTAAACCTCTTCAGATGATACCAAGCAGCGTGAAAGCTCAGCTTAAAAAAAAAAAAGTTATCCCCAGCAGCCAGGATCTAAGGTCATTTAAGTAATAAGCAAAATGTGTGGGTGGCCTAAAAGGGACGAGGCAGCCAGCATTTTAAACAAAGATATATCAGGCATTTTTTATTCTTCTCAAGATTAACCCAGGTGCCAAGGTTTATACTAACTAAAGCATGGGGGTCCTTGGTGGTCTCTGAGCTTGGTTGCTTTCTTGTAGACATTTCATTTTTAAACTAGGTAATATCATTAAGGCTAGAAGGGAGTATGGTTTGCTCTTTATTTATCTATCCCTGGGGCGTCAAACTCACGTCGTCACGGCAGCGTCACATGAGGTACTGGGACTTTTCCCCCCTTTGATAAATTGGGCGTGGCCAGCACGTGACAAATCCAGCCTGTGGGCCAGGAGTTTGATAGTCCTGATCTACCCCATTCCCTTTTAGCACTGTTGAGGTCACCTAGTTTGGGTAGTGTAACTTCTGCAAGAAAATCACCAAGCTCAGAGAGTGCCAAGGACCCCTCATTTCAACCATGAGCTACAGTAAAAATATTGTCTTCTATCAGCACCAGCTGAAGTTTCTCGTAAAGATACAAAAGCAACCTCCTGTACAAGCATTGTTCCTCGGCTTTTCAACAAGTGCATCAGTTTTATTTTCATTTTCTTCCAGAGGTGGATACATCGGACATGTCAACCAAAGCCGGTAATAGGTCATCCTAGCCTTGTCTTAAATCTGGTTAACAGAGAGAAAGATTTGGATCCCAAAGAAGTCCCAAAACTCAGTACTTGCTCTTTCTGTAAAGGATACTCCCACTCAGACTGATAGTGTTACCTTGCTGGAATTAAAGCCCCACACAAGGAATATAATGACCATCTTACCTGCATTTAGTTTCAAGGTATTATTCCCTATGGAGCCCTTTACCGATTTAAATTGGTCCCTAAATAATTTATCACTCCATCAATGGTTTTCTAATTAACAACAGAGGTGCCTGCAGGGCAGAAGGTGGATCGGAAAAAAAGCAGCATCGCTCTGCAATTTTTGTACGCATAAAATTAACACAAATGCAAGGAAGTGACAGAGCTCGTGGTGCCTGCAAACAACTGTGATTAAGAGGGATTATGGTATTAAAAGAAAACATACTTACTTGTATTACTGGCTTTTCTACTCTTTGATCCAGAAACTTTGAAAGAAAGTAGTGCGTAAACATATAGTTGAGACAGCTGTAATGTTTCTGCTTCCAACTAAAGGTTAGTTTCCAATATAAGATGTGGTACAGCTCCCCCTTGTGTTTGCTTATTGTATTCAGATTACAAGTCATTTTTGTCTTAGAAATGATGAACACTGAATTTTAGTATGGAAATAAAGAACGTTATTTATTCAGTCAAACATAACACATCCAACGTGCAATCAGTAAAGAATGTTCAAAGCTAACTAAAAGAGAGCATTATCATTACAATACCTTGAATATTCCCATTTTACGTCTTGAAGCATGACGCTCAACAGGAATATCCAAGACGGCTTTGATTAAATACAGCTTAAAATAAGGAACTATTTTAGGGACTGTTTTGTAATTTTGGAGAAGTAGAGGGACAGCTTTGACTCCTCTACTGTAAAATTAAAAAAAATAAAATGGTATCTTTAAGTATTTGATAGTTGCAGATGATTTTTTATTGTTTGTATTTATTTTACTGTATTGTGCTGTTCTGAGGGTTACAGAAAGTAAAGCCATGTACAGCATGTAGCAACAATAAAGGGGCATTTAGAGGAAGAAAGCCACACATTTAGCTTAACAAATAAATACTATAATAAATAAAGCCACTACTTCTAGTAATTTTCTTGATTGTATTTGTGTGTAGCAGGTGTTCCCATTTCTAAAGATACTGAAAGCAATGGAACATTATGCTTTGGGGGGAAAAATAAGACAAGCATTGTCTATTTTTGCACAAGAAAAATGGAAATGGCCGTCAACAAAATTTATAATGTTCTTATTGTTACAAATATTGCTGCTCTCTAGAAAATATTATTTAAAAGCATTTTTACCGATCT